CCCCCGCAGCCCCCTGCCATGGCCCCCTCTTTCCCAGCTCTGCAAAATGTCTGCGGTGCAGGAGACACCTTGGTGTCCTTCTCATTAGCACTGGGGGAAGGTCAGACCTGCCGGGACGATGGATGGGAGCAAGGTGCCAAAGGGCTGGCCCCAGAGGTTTCTCATCCTGAGCCTCCCAACTCCGGAGGGTCTGGCCAGGGCATGACGATGGCTACCAGCCCCGCAAGCTGGGAGCAGCAGCGTGGCCGGTGGGGGCTGTGGGACATTGAAGCTTTCCTGCTCCTGATGCCTTCTCACCGCCATCCTTCTCTTCTCTTCTCTTCTCTTCTCTTCTCTTCTCTTCTCTTCTCTTCTCTTCTCTTCTCTTCTCTTCTCTTCTCTTCTCTTCTCTTCTCTTCTCTTTTCTCTTCTCTTCTCTTTTCTCTTCTCTTCTCTTCTCTTCTCACCCTGCAGTCGAGAGACGGCGAAGGTTTAACATCAATGACCGCATCAAAGAGTTGGGGATGCTGATCCCCAAGGCCAATGACCTGTACGTATCGGTGGTTTCTGCAGGAATGGGATAACTGCGGGTCTCGTGGGCTTGCTTGATGCTCGGCCCCGTGGCAGGCGATACTTGCAGGGGGGCTTTTAGGTGGAGCAGGGGTCGTGGAGGGGAGCAGCAGGTCGTGGAGGGGACACGCTGCCGGCATGCAGGTGGCAATCGCTTTTTCCATCCTGCACGGCAGGGACGTGCGCTGGAACAAAGGGACAATCCTGAAGGCATCTGTGGACTACATCAAGAGGATGCAGAAGGATTTGCAGAGGTCACGAGACCTGGAGAATCACTCGCGGCGTCTGGAAATGACAAATAAGCAGCTGCTGCTCCGCATCCAGGTGAGCTTCCCTGTGCTCTTCCCTCCCTCTGCTCTGCTCCAGCCCCACGAGCAGCTCGCTCCTGCCGCGCCGAGGGGACGGGCAGGGGCTCTCCTCCCTCTTACGGCTGTCGAGTCACCAGGAACAAAGTCTTCAGACAAACCAGACGTCTGAGGCTCTGGTCACCGCATCGGGCGTTGTTGAGCTTTGCATGGGTCAGCATTTTCCATCCTTCTCCTCTTCCATGGGCTCCTTCCCTGTGAGCTTCTCGGTCCCTCTCTGCTGGCTACCTCCATGAATGCCCATGTGCCGTGTCCCCGTGCGCGACGTCCCCACCAAAGACCTCCTGTGCTCTGTTGGCAGGAGCTGGAGATGCAGGCACGCGTCCATGGGCTGCCCACCTCCTCGCCCTCGGGGGTCAGCGTGGCCGAGCTGGCTCAGCAGGTGGTCAAGCAAGAAGCCAGTGGGGACGAGGGGATGCTGGAGCCACCGCTGCCACCCCCAGACCCCGAATCACAGCCGCAGCTGGCAATGCCTCCACCACCCCAGTCTCCCTACCACCAGCTGGACTTTACCCACAGCCTGAGCTTCGACGACGGTTCCCGGGGCTTCCCCGACAGCCTGGAGCCCAGCCACGGTGCTTCCTTCCCATCCCTATCCAAGAAGGAGCTGGACTTGATGCTGATGCAGGACACCATGCTGCCGCTGGCCTCCGACCCCTTGTTCTCGGCCATGTCCCCGGAGGCCTCCAAGGCCAGCAGTCGCCGGAGCAGCTTCAGCATGGAGGATGCAGACATGCTGTGACGAGGAGCTGCTCCGACGCTGGGGGCGAGGACCGGACCTTCGAGTTTGGTTAGTGAAGTTATGGGGCACTCTTCTCGCAGGAGGAGCCCATCCTGCCGCGCACTTGAATCTACGTAGGAGTACCTTTTCTCTATGCAATGGGGGTCTCGGATCAAGGCTCGCCGGGTACCACCGTGTCTTTTGCAAGCTTTTTTTTTGCCAGGAGCTGGAGCGAACCTTCTTGGCTTGCCGTGGCGTTGGCCTGACTGCAGATTCCCCAGCCTGGGAATGTGATCTCGGCTGCTTTGCCTTTCAGTGAAACCCTCCCGGACTAAACCCCTTCCCCAGGGTGCTGGCTCAGAGCCAGAGCGGGAAGGAGCCTTCGAGTCCCTGGGAGGAGAGGAGAGGGAAGATGCTCAAAGCTTTTTATCTGCCTTGCTGTCTCCTTGCCATCTCGCTCCGGGAGCCCACATCCCCAATGAGTCTTCCCCAGCGGTGGCTTCTGAGCCCCACGGATGCTTCACAGTGCCACGTCCCTCATGGTTCCTCCTTCCTCAGAGCACCCGCTGCTTCTCCGGGTCTCAGGACCGAAGGGAGAAGAGGTGTTAATTGGTGTTAATTCATGGGGCAGGGGGCGAGGGTGTTGTCTGAGTGAGCTGGGTCTGAGGCTGCAAATTTGGGTTGACGTTGAAGGCTTCCAAAACAGGTGGGAAGGGGTGTTTGATGCTTGGTCAACCTCCTGCTGTGACCCCTATGATGTGCGGGGACCCCTCCGCCGGT